GATCTCGACTTCATGGAAATGGGAGACTCCTCCCTAGCTTGTCCTGCAGCTGTAGGGCTGAGGGCAAGCAAAACCCCCCGGGGGCATCTGAACCCCAAGTCTCTGGGCTTGGGCCTGCACTAGGATGCTCACCAAAGGATTTGGAAGTATCTGAAGCGGGGGTGGAGGGTGCTTGCTGGTAGCAGGGCCACATATGATTCTTAAATGAATCACAGCAGGGATTTTCAATTCTTTTTGGTCAGTGTACCCCCAGTGGCTGGTCAAGAAGCAGGGAGTCCCCCAGCAGCCACTCAACAGGTGTGCGTGTTGGGGGGGGAGGGGACTGCCCAGCCCAGCCCAGCCCAGCTCAGCAGCAAAACCAGAAGTGTTTTCTGTGCCGTTGACGCATACCCCTGAGGCCTTCCAAAGTACCCTCAGGGGTACACGTACCCCTGGTTGACAACCCCTGACTCAGATTTGGAACTGACTTGGCGGGGGTCATAGCGGGGCCCCGGTATGGCTTTATAAGCACTCATGGGGCTCTGGCCATAAACACTCATGGGGTACCAGAGGTTTGGAAAAGGGCCAGTGTGGTCCCCATTTACAAGAAGGGGAGAAAGGAGGACCCCGGCAATTACAGGCCAGTCAGTCACCTGGGGCTTATTGTCTACCTGGACTTCAAGAAGGCCTTAGAAACTGTTTCTCATCTCACTCTCATAAAAAAACTAGGCGACTGCGGCATTGATGCCTACACAGTCAGATGGGTGGCAAATTGGCTAGATAGCTGCACCCAGAGAGTGGTGGTGGACGGGTTGTTTTCGACCTGGGAGGGTTGTGTGCAGTGGAGTCCCCCAGGGCTTGGTCCTGGGGCTTGTACTGTTCAACATTTTTATCAGTGATGTGGGTGTGGAAAGCACACTGTCTGAATTCACTGATGACACCAAGATATGGGGTGAGGTGGGCACGCTGGAGGGGAGGGACAGAATCCAGCTAGATCTAGACAGGTTGCGGAGGTGGGTGGATGAGAATAGGATGGAATTCAATACAGACGAGTGTAAGGTGCTGCATGTAGGGAGAAGGAGCCAGCAACACACCTACAGGCTGGGGAACTCCCTTCTTGTCAGCACGGTGGCTGAAAGGGATCATGGAGTCATTGTTGACTTCGGATGAGCATCAGTCACCAATGGAAGGAAGCAGTCAGTAAGGCTAACTGCACCTTATCGTGCATCTACAGATGCATCACAAGCAGGTCCAGGGAGGTGATCCTTCCCCTCTATGTGGCATTGGTCAGGCCACAGTTGGAGTACTGCATCCAGTTCTGGGCGCCGCACTTCAAGAGGGATGTGGCTAGCATTGAGAGGATCCAGAGGAGGGCCACTTGCATGGTCGAGGGGCAGTGGGGCAGGCCCTACGAAGGGAGGCTAAATAGCCTGAATGGATTCAGCCTCCACAATAGAAGGTTGAGAGGAGATCTGCTGGTGACGGTTTACAAACTCACCGGGGGGAACCAGTGGGACTTGGGGGAGGCTCTGTTCCCTCAGGTACCACCGGGGGTTACTAGGAATAACGGCCACAAATTTTTAGAGAGAATGTTCAGGCTGGACATCAGGAGACATTACTTTATGGTTAGGGTTGCTAGGCTCTGGAATGGTACTCTCGCCTACCTTGGGGGTCTTCAAGAGGAGGCTGGATAGATATTTGGCTGGAGTGTTATTACCCTGGCACCCGTTCCTGCCCAGGGCAGGGGGTCGGACCTGATGATCTGTTTAGGTCCCTTCTGACCCTAAGCACTATGAAACTATGATTTGACTTGGGACATGAATTTTTTTTTTTAAGGAAAAAAATCTAAAAATCAGTTTAGACTTGAGTTTTGGATACACTGCATCTATTAGCTGCCTCGTAAATTATAGTATATTTTGAACACATTTACTATTATTGGTTGTACATTGTACAAAGGTTGAAATTATTGTACGAATACCGTAATTATTGTACACCCAGCAACGCTGCCTCCTCCTGTCAGATGTGGGGGTTGGCGACTTAACTTCTTTCAGCACAGCCACTGAGCTGGCTGGCTGAGCACACTGCAGCAGGCTCCAGGGGAACTGCCCTGTACCAGTCAGTGTGGAGATAAGTCCCCGTCTCCCAGGCCCCCTCAGCACATTGGTCTCAGTATCTCTCTTGCATTGGGCAGGGCAACGAGGTAGGCAGCTCATTCAGGGGACAGGCTGCTCTTCAGCAATGTCTTTTGCCTTTCTTGGTCCCAGTCGAGGGCAGGGTTACAACTTCCATCCACTTCCTTGCAGGGTAAGCGCTTGCCAAAAAAACACCATCTCCTGTGTCTTAATGTAGAAGACAAGGTTCTTTGGATAAATGTATTATCTTTTATTAGACCGACTAATTAGAACCTTGTCTGTCTATGTCCTTAGACCAACACCCTGAATTAATGTAGAAGAAGAATTGGGGGCTGTTGGACAACTGAAGGTGCTACCATGTTGGCACTTTTTAATTAGATAATGAAAGAGGACCAGGATTTAAGCATTTGAAAAGAAAATGGCTTCTGCATTGAGGAGACTAGGAATGGGCAGCACTGCCATCTTGCTCCTTAATTGAAAAGATACTGCCACATGTTTGAGACCTAAAGAATAGATTTACAAACTTCCATAGATATATTTTTTTTAAATGTGAATATTTACTTGTGTTGAAAATCAGATAGTTGCCTTTTGTGCGGGTGCAGAAGAACCCTTTCAGAAGCTCAACTTTGGGCTGTGGGCTGGATGAGATATGCGAGGTTGGTTAACAGGCTGGGTCCAGTGCAAGGGATTGAGCTGCAGACTGGATCCAGCACACAGTCATGGCCCCAGACCCACACATGCTGGATTGGGTTTGCCACTGTGGCCCCATGTGCTAACCCAGTCTAGGACCATTGGGGCCATGTCATTTGCCTGTGGGGCTTTAAAGTTTGATAGCAAGGGAGCAGTGGCAGTGTTAATTGTCACTGTTTTCCCTATTGCCAAATTTTCTGACTCAACCTGGGAAGGTTGAACAGCACTGATCTTTGTTCATTTCTCTGTTTGGTGACAGTGGCCAATAACATGTTCAGAAGGAAGGTTCAAGAAATTCGCTAGGAGATGAATGGAATCATGGAGGCATAGAAGAATTATCTTCAAGAAGTTTTCTTACCTCACTAAAGGTTGGCTTACACCCTTCAGCACAAAGTTGTATATCCTACCTGGTGGAGTTGCGAATGTTAAAGAAGCAGTCTTTGAATCCTGCTAAGCTGTTGGAGTCTTTGAATCCTGCTAAGCTAATTTTTATTGAGTTCCTCTAATTAGTTGTGTATGTGTGTGTGTGTGTGTGTGTGTTTTCCACAACTTTTTTTTTTCCTTTTGGTGTTAATGTGTTACCTTTCAATTTAATTGTCTCTACCTTTGTTTTTATAAGTGGCCCCAGCAGCAGTCTATAATTATGTTTGTCCAACACATTATTTTTATGTCAGGGTTTGGCAGACTTTTACCACAGTGGGCCACTGATTGAGATCCAGTCTTCACTGTGGGCAGCCTGCTACACCTCCCTAGCAACCAGCAGATGCTGTGGAGAGATTAGATGGAATGAGGCAGCCTCTAGGACCCTGGGGATGCCTCCTCTGCTTGTGGGGCTGCAGTGGGCTGCTGATTCCCTAACCCTGTTTTTTTGTGACTCAATTTTCAGTTTTTAATTTTGCTGAATACAAAACATTTGGGCTAAAATTTTATGAGGCTACCTACTTAAGGCTGACTTAAGAGGCAGAGGGGAGGAGCTGGAAAGGGAGGAGTTACAGGTAAAACCAATTATTTTTGAGATTAGATAAGGGCAAAGTATGCTGTTTTGTTCACAATAAAAAAATAATTTCATGTAAGCCTTTCTGCAAATCGTGGTACCACTCTTCTGGCTGGGGGGGGGGCGGGGGGTAGAGTAAAGGTTGCACTGATGTGCCTTTTGCCATCGTGGTGAATGTTTACCCAAAAGCCTTAGAAAAAAAATCTAAGTTCACACCTACTCACTAGACAGCTGTGGAGTTTGCTATATTTCTCTGAATCTTCTCTCTGAAAGCATGCTCCATCTGTCTCTGTACAGCCACCCTGTATAACTGAACTGTGTGTATACGTCCCCACTGTTTCTGTTGTAGTTGGCATTGCAGAGGATAAATGGGACTTTCTTTGCAGTTGTTCCTTTTGCCATGGTGCTGGTATAGGAATGGTGCTAGGGATATAGAGGAGGGAAACTTCTCCCATCTTATCTTAATGCTTCCTTTGGCACCCAGATATTGTAGAGGGAAGCAAACAGGCTCAAATAAAAAGTGTTGGGGAGGGGGGAGGGAAAAGACAGCTGTCAAAAAGGGGGAGGTGTCCTGGATGCCTGTGTTCTGTGCATCTGGGAGGTTGTGTGTCCAGGAG